AAATCAAAATGAGATTACGAAAATCTTGAGTTTTGAAGCCTGTTGTTTATTTAACCTCAAAACGAAGCTAACTGAGTTGATACTGTGATTTGATAACTTTTCAACCGATATATAGTTACTTTAAGATTAATGAGATTTTTCAATTTGTTATGGATTGACCACATCTTACGTCCCCCCTTGAGCCAAATTTGGGGTGGGCAAAGATTTGGCCACCTTCTCGTGATGCTACTAAGATTATGACATCGCGGCCTACTTTGTTTTTTGTTGTTGTTGTGTGTGTGAAAGAGAGGACTTGCAACACGACAATTCAGCGACGGAGATGGGGTTGGGGTCGTACCGATAACTGGAATGCGATGACAACAAAGCTCGGCATGAGTGGTTGTAGGGGCTAAGGGGCGAGCGAGCGAAAGAGAGATATCTTGTGATTATCTTTTCGGTCTTGGATATCTTGGCTAAATTTCTCAAAAACTAAGGGCTATTGAGTCAATTTAAGATACCTAACTCTAAAGGATCCAAATCCTTTTATAAAAGTATTGGCAAATATAAAAAGTTGCTATGTTTTGTAAATTAGAATAAATTGTGACAAAAATTGATAATTTGAAAGAACCAAATAAACAGTATTAAGTTATCTAAATAAGAGTTGATAATTGGTGCTTTTGCAAACAAGTTATGACAAAAAGTCATAATTCCAAAAAGACCAAATAGATGATGGTAAACTAAGCAAATAATTTTTAAGGACAAGTGCAATAAAAGACCAAAAACTTATCACAGAAGTGTAATTGAAACCTAAAATTTTAAAAAGTACAATCAAATTCCAAAATATGCCCAATTGGTGCAAATAAGTCCCCCCGTTATCTTCTTCCAATTTGAATTACAAAAAATGCTAATATAATTATTTTTTTTACTTTCTTAAGATCAATGGTGCCGTGTCATGAAAAAATTTAAAAAGATTAAAGAAAAAAGACAAACAAAGAGAAAGAGAATTAAAGAAAAAAATAAGAATTAAAATATAAAAAAGCCAAAAGTTAAAATAAATAAAAAAAGAGGGCAAGTCGTGTTTAACAATGCTCCGGCAGACTATGTCAACCCATTGGTGGCAACTAACGGAGGAATCGAAGGTGGCCACGAGAGGCACAAGTGATTGGGCTGGCTAAACTCACAGCCAAGCCGGAACATGTTGTTCCGAAACTTCAACAGTGGACTTGATTGAATCAATTTGACAAATTTTAAAACTAGGTGGTATTTTTTAAAATTTTTAGAACTCAATTACATTTTCGTATCAGGTTATAAGACTTCCAATGCACTTATCGCTAAGATATTTGACATAAGTTGTTTGAAAAATTATTGCAACAGGTTGTAAGTAAATCAAATTAAGGTTTGTAATCTTGAATTGAAATCAATAAATTTGCATTGTTGGTACACCTTGCAAATAAAAGGTGATAAATTATGACAAAAGTTGGTAATTTTGAAATAATCAAACATTGTTAAGTGAGTCGAATAAAAGTAGGTAATTTGAAATTAATTGATAACTCAACACAAAGACAATTTATCTAATCAAATAAAAGATGGTAAATCCATCAAAAGAGTTGGTAAATTTGAAAGATGGTAAATTCATCAAAAGATTGGTAAATTTTCCAAATTCTAGTAGATGTTAGTAATTTTGAAGTGACCAAATAGATGTCGTAAGTTTCAGAAAAAGTTGATATTTTAAAGTTAGTTGATATATTTATCGGTACAAAAATTGAGAAATAACTCAAATTAAGGTGAGTGATTTTCGTATAAAAGTTGATAGTTTGTTTTTAAATGGAAGCACCAAAAGTTGGTACTCTTATTGGAAAAGTGTTGGTAATTGCTTATAAGCGATGGTAACTTAGTAAGTGAATTGAGTAAGAGTTATATTGAAAACTCAATTCGAGGCATCTTGGTGAATAACTCAATTAAGATCGGTAATTCTGCACCATAATAGGTAAATTTGAAATAGTAAGCTACGCAAATAAATATTGGTCATTTTCAAACAAACAATACGTATCGATAACAAGATCAAATAAGAGGTGGTAATCTCAAATTAGTCAATAATTTAATCCAACAATATTTTTTTTTTCTAAAAGCTCACTTTAAGACTGGCAATTACTTATAAAAGTCGATGAATTAGAACATTACTGAGTTGCACAATTAACAGTTCATAACTTATTGGAAAAAAATTGGAAATTTTCAATAGATGATTAACCGTGGTTTATTATTATGGGAATCAGTAAACTACTAACAAGTTACCAATTCATTGATTTTTTTTACATTCAATATATGAAAAGTACGAACATCAATTCAAATATATACCGATTCCAAATTTCTTTTTATTTTTATTCCCGAAATCGTAGAGTGTGTCATTTTATTTACCTTTTAGGCTTTTAACCACAAAATAAAAAATTCGACCAAAAAAATAAAAAGGAAAAAGAAAAAGACCAAGAGGTCAAAACACCAGCTTGTTCTGTCAGAGTTGACGTTTTGGACTCTTTTGTAGGTAGGCTGCCGTCGTGCTACGCGGACCTAAAGAGCGTAGGGCGGTAGGAGTCCCCCTTGCAATTCGTTCCCATTGGCTCTCCTGAAAAATAGGAGACTATTCCCATCCCGAATAATCATGGTCATTATACTGAAGAGGAAGAATAAATACATTAAAGTTCTAAAATTTATCACAAAAATATAATTAAATTTTTAAATTTTTAAAAAATATAATCGAGTCCTAAAATTTATCATGAAAATGCGATTAAATTCTTCAGTTGATTGCACTTTTTGAAAGTTTTAGAACTTGATTTCACTTTTTGAAAGTTTTAGGATTCGATTGCATTTTCGTAACAAGTCTTAATTTCTCTTTTTGAAAATTTTAGAACTCAATTGCACTTTCATGACAAGTTTTAGGACTTTAATTGTACTTATCCCTAAAAAATATTAGCAATTACAACTTCAATGAAATAAAAGCACGCTGCAATCCAATTTTCAATGGATTATTAATAATTAGTGCTTTTAAGATCTTTCTATTACCTTAATACATTGAGGATACATATTAACAAGAACTTTAGTTTATATCTCTCTTGCCAAGGACAATCCGCCCCACTTCACTCCATTCCCACTAATTCGATCATTCGCATTATTTGTATCCTCAAACAGGGAAAAATTAGGAGACCTGAACTTACTAAACTTTTTTGATAAAAAAAAACACACTTACTAAACTTTAAATAGTATTTCAATCAAAACACGTTATGTGCTAACTTACCGAGTAGGGAAACATACAGTTCCTTTCTTTTTTCTCCGTCTCTCCCTCGTCATCATTGGCCCTTCTTCTTGCCCAATAGCAACTTATGTACCGTCTCTCCATCATATGTGTACACTATCGTGAATTGACTATGTGTGATAGAATATTTAAATATTAAACCAAGTTTTCATCTGACGTCTTGAGCTTTTAGGATGGTTGGTGGTGATTGCACAAAATCTCACATGATATCAAAATAGGAGATTCCGAGTTTAAATTTTTCCAGGTCCCATGAAGCTTTTAGAGAAATACTTGATTGCAAAGCTCGACTGAAGGGCTCTCTCTCTCTCTCTCTCTTTCTCTCTAGGGTTGACAAAGACAATTTTTTTTTGTGATGGAGAGAGAGATTATCTTGATAGTCAAGAGACAGGATACAAATACGACGACCGGCGCTTGGCGATCGATCGTCAAGATACGAGTCCATAAACAAGCTGGTTAAACGTCACGGCGTGGCAACTCAGATGATGGTCAGATCATAGAGAGAAGGGAAGCGAAGGGGAGGTCTCCTTGCTGTAACGGTCAATTTCTCTACTAATGACAACCGAACCCCACGAAACCCTAGAATTCCAATCGACACAAAAAGTCGCCGCCAACGTTCCTCCATGTAGCAGTACCTAACAAACCCTTGCTCCTCAAACGTTTGCTAAGATGAGGATAGTCAAAGACCACGGGTTTGACGACATCTCACCCCGTCCCCCCCAAAAAACAAAATATTATTAAAAATGATAATTACCAACATTAATAATACAAGATCGAGGGGGGATCGGATAAACTTGGATGGGCTTTTGCCACGTACCCCCTAGTCCCGATCACCTCTCAAAATTAGACACAAGATCTTTTGTCCTTTTTAAAAGAAAAAAAATTAATCAATGCATCTTTAATGTTCCTTCAGCTCAACGATTAAAAATTACTCGGAAATTGGACCCCTTAGACTAATAGAGGGGGGATAATATAAAGAAAACACAATTTCCTTGGAATGCATCAAGTAGCCAAAGTTTATGTATTCTTTTGTGATTTTTATAATGTGAAAAGATCGGGCCTTGAGCTAAAGTTTCCAATAATTAACTAAGTACCACATATGTCTCCGAACCTCTTAGTTTCCGCATTTATCATGTGAGAGAGCTCGGGATGCAGGCAAGTGGCACAAATCTGCGAAGCCTGTCTCGATGAAGAAACGATTGATCTCGACATCCGAGCGACAAGAAAGTCATTAGGTGGAATAAAATAACACGACAAGCTCTTTATGGAAAGATAGAGCATACAAAGAATGGATGATTTACTTCTCAATGACATGTAACTTCAGCCACTATTCTGAAACATGTTCACTAACTTCTGCCGCATGTGCTGTGTTGAACTTGAGCATGGTGCCAATGGCGATCACTGGTGCAACACAGTCGATGGACCGAATGATAGGAAAAAAATGGCGACTACTGTATGAAATGTTGCGATTGACTTGATCTTGTTAATTGAAACTTGAAAGTTACAAGTACCGGTCCTATGCGGAGGTGAAACGCCGATTCTTAGATTACAGTCTTAGATTACTTCAAGATGCTGTAATCTAAGAACAACCAAAGTCAGGGGATAAAACACATCGTTGTGCGACTACAGCGCAACTGCAGCAAGTAGCATCAAAAGGAGACTAAAGAGTATGTTGCTGTAGTCAAATGTAGAAAGTTTGTAAGAAAAGTCTAATTATGTGGTGCAACCAGTGGCTTAGAAATTTCCATTACCATTCTCTGGAGAGAGAGAGAGAGAGAGAGAGAATCTGACATGCACTGATAGGACCGAGTGCTGTCCTGTGGACCAGCACTTTTTTTCACTTTAATGCCCCCATGCCTTTACCACCCAGAGAGAGAGAAGAGAGAAGGACAGAGGGAGCTGATCATCTTAAGCTTGAGCCCTCTGGTTGAGAGCTCTTCTAATTGGTGGTTTGCTTCTCATCTTCCTCGTGCTCAAAGGCACTTTGTTCTTGACAGATCTTGAGCTCCAGCAACATCAAGATAGGGCCAACAGAGCCCTCTCCCTCTTCTCTTCATCTCAGTCACAGAACCCTTTTGAGGTTTGCAGGAAGGAAGAGGGAAAAGAAATGAAGGAATAAAGAGGGGGATGGACCCGTGTGCAGGCCGTGGGAGAGGAAGAACATGACCTTGTCGGTTGTTCTGCAAATGCCACTCCGCACTGTCACCGCATTATCTCTCTCTTTCGTACGATCCCCACCCACCTGTTCCTCTCTCTCCTGCTTCTTTATGGCCCGGATGGCCACTAGGAAACACAATTCCCTTCCCTTAAACTAACTCTCTCCCTCTCCCTCTCCCTCTCTATCTCTGGATTCTCTCGGACTTTTAGGATTTAGCAAGGCTCCTGAATCAGCTGTTTCCTTCAATTCCCCAAATCTACAGTGTCCAATACACTCAGGTAAGTCGTATACTACTACTACTGGGGGACCCTCTTGTGCTTTAATCTCCTAATCTCGCAGTTTTCACTCTCAAGTTTCAAATACTTGCCTTTCCTTTAGGGGAAAAAGGAGGAGTTTGAGTTGCAGTTTTGGGTGTGTGTTCCTTCCTTCTTCTACTTTGGTTGCAAGACTTTGGAGTCCAACTAGGGGAGAGAGAAGGGTTTTCAGAACAGTGAAGTGGGTTGGTTGGTGGGATCAGCACCACACACAATGTCAAAATCAGCATGGGAAAAAAGAAGCTTGTGAGAATAAGTATTACCTGGGGGGGTCAGCTAGGGGATTAGGCCTTCGATTAAGATATGCTTCCCTGATTAGATGGAGGATGAATGAGGGTGGAGACCAGCACAGGAGACTCCACGATTTAAGCGAAAAATCATGATGGAGGAGGAGAAGAAGACGATGACCTCTAGTTTGTTTTGACATGATAATTCCCATTAAATAAACACGTAGGAGATTCGAAGATCAAGACTATTTATCACCAGGCCTGGGCAAAGATTGATGGAACTGGGAGGCCAAGAACAGGAAAGAGAGATGCCAAGTTCTTTGGGGTACAACCCTCCACATAAAGATTCTTCCTCCAAATTCTCTCCTGCAAACACAGTATCTGGTGTTAGAAGAGATCAAACCCTAAATCATCACAATCATCTGTATCCTCAGAACCACCACCCACCAAATCCACACCAATCAACAAACAAGCCTAGAAGAGAATATCAAGAAGCCGACCAAGATCCATTTGCAGTTGCTTCTCCATCTCCAATTGCGGTAGCTACCGGCGGCACTTCGGTCAGCATCAAACCACACACGGAACCGCCATCGCCACCGCAAGGGCAACACACACGATCCCCCACGCCGCAGCCGCAGCCGGCGACAGCTATTATCTTCGCCTCCACCATCCGATATAGAGAATGCCTTAGGAACCATGCGGCAAGCATGGGCGGCCATGTTGTCGACGGTTGTGGAGAATTCATGCCCAGCGGGGAGGAAGGGACGCCAGGGTATTTCAGATGTGCTGCGTGCGAGTGCCACCGCAATTTCCATCGGAAGGAGGTCGAAGGTGAACCACAGTATACACCTAGTCACTACTATAGCAGCAACAAAACCAATGGCCAAAGAGCTGCTTTACCTCCTCCCCAACAACATCATGCAATTCCCCAGCCAAACCCAATCAATCTGCATCACAGGTTCTCTTATTGCATAACAAGCGCTGCCGCCACCTCCACCGCGGCCCCAACTCAACCAGTGATGATGGCCTTTGGCGGGGGCATCCCGGAAGAGTCTTCAAGTGAAGACCTTACTATGATTCAACATAGTGATGCTGTGCTGCGATCGACACAGCTGACGTCGTCGAAGAAAAGGTTTCGGACAAAATTCACGCAGCAACAGAAAGACAAGATGATGGAGTTCGCCGAGAAGTTGGGGTGGAGGATTCAGAAGCAAGATGAACAAGAAGTGATCCAATTCTGCGCTGAGGCCAGTGTGACGAGGAAAGCTTTCAAGGTGTGGATGCACAACAACAAACAAGCCATGAAGAAGCAACAAAGGTAAAAAGATCAAGTTAACTCTTGTTGGGGAATAAGATTGTAATTGTTGAAACCGTCTGTCCATAATTAGAGGAGATAGATCGGAGCAGTCAATTTTGGCTGATTTTCCCCCGTTTCCAAGGCTTTGTTGAAGGCATGATTTGCCGTTTTTAGATGCTTCTGAATCATCAGCAACTCAGAGCTGCTTATTAATTCATGGTAATACCTGTCTGCCATCCCCACTTTAGGCCTCTTGTATGTTGGGGAACATTGAATTATACAGAAAGATAATAGCTAGAGTGGAAGGTTTTGGGTCCTCGTGACAAAGATGAAGATACACTTACTATGAAAAGTTTTGGAAAAATTTCATGTACAACATTTCTAGCTTAACTTCCTAGGTTCTTTGTTCCATGATATTTCTGTTGCTTTGGTGCCCAGTTTCTCAATCATCATCGTTTTTACAAGGACCAAACGATAAAGGAAGAGGAGTTGATGTCTCTCTCTTCAGGTCGCTAAAGTACTAAATAAGATAGCGATATCTAACCATGATAAAAATTCCCAGTTTACACTATTCAGGCACTGCTTAGGGAAACTTTGTAAGATTCTTCTTAGAAGGTGAAATTTTAATCAGAACTAGGGTCCCTTGTGATGAAAGACTTTCTGTGTACCTCTATTTGCTACTTTTAATGCATGCGGGACACTGTTACGCCTCTGTCAGACAAATTCAGACAAATTCAGACAAATGGTCCCATGAGATTGATGTATCATTCAGCCTTTTGTATTTCAATTTCTGATAAGTTAATGCTATTGAGACCAGGAAAAGACAGAACCAGGAGGACTTACATAGGAAATCTACTTGCACAAACAAGATCTATCGTGTCCAAATAATAATGTGGCAAGGATTGGACCAGGATAGCTTGCACATGCAATTGTACAATCTACAGTTTAGGTGAGTCCTTTCCATAATTTCAGCTAGGGTGGTCCTCTAAGTGTGGTGGATGATCTAATGAAAGGCAAAGAAGTCGTCATCACATGCATCTTAAAACAAAGCGGGGAGATAAATCGCACTAGTGGCAATGAGAGAAATGTTCAAGACAAAGCCGAAAGAAGAATATCGGGATTCAATATTGAACGTACTTCGAAAGAAGAAACTCCGTCGCTAACTGCAACAAGTTCACCACACGTTGATTGCCTACTGTTTCCCCTTAGATCTACTCCTTGCTCAATGAATAGATGTTCATTCCAGCACTTGGAAAGAAGAAGAGATTTGTTTCGTTACCATCTATTTAAAGTGAGGTTCCTAGGACACTGACCTCAAAGATCAATAGAAAGATGCGTAGAAGATAACAGAATGAAAGTGACTGAAGCTGTCGAAGGAGTGGAAGCTCTTAAGATCCTAAGACTCAGATCGTAAGACTCAGACAGGCAATACCACCTAAAAGAATCTGAGTTTTTTTTAAGCTTGTTTTGGGAGTCAAAACCATGCTGAAAAGAAAGAAGAAAAAGGTTGAAGCGGAAAGTTTTTCATGCATTGCTCCCAAAGAAATAACAGCAGATGCTGTACAAAATGTCATGCCCTCAGCCGAGAAAATGGAACAATCATTTCCTAAGCAATGTCAACAAGCAGCACTTACAAAGAGAAAAACTTGAAGAGCTCTCGAGGAAGCCATTTCATCAAGTTTAGAGCTTTAAACCTCATGAAGTAAAATGAAACACATTTAGTTTGTCGACAACTGTACAATAATCCTGCGGTGGGCAGATTAACTAGTATAGATTGCAATATCTGGGGCAGGAAGGCTCTCTCCAGTGATAAGCATCATCAGCAAACAACATATTCATAATCGGGAATTATTATTCTCGTCTTTTTACAGACAATGAGGGCTAACCAAAGTGTGGTAATGAAACGGTAAATCTACATCACTATGTATTATTATTCTCGTCTGTGTTAAGACGATGAGGGCAAACCAGAGTGTGGTAAGGAAACGGTAAATCTACATCACTCTCTTGACTAGATCCTTTCATACGAGGCTCAAGATCTTACCATAAGGTGAGGTAAAGGTCCTACCAAGTTAGTTTAATCATCAAAACTGTGAAATGACCGAAAGTTACTAACATCACAATAGTTGATTGGGCTTACAGCTCCGAGCCGTCTGATCTCATCTTTGATCCAAGATTACCTGCTGCCTCTGAAGCCTTTTCCTTCGCTGCTTCATAATTAGACTTGGCTTCATGTGTCATGGTCTCCTTGGCTGCTTTATATGACTCCCCGACCTTCTTAAAAGCTTCATCATATGCATCGATTGCTTCATCTTTGTCGTAGCCCATTGCACCAGCCACTTGATCCCCCACATCACCAGCTTTATCCGAAGCCATGTATGATGCCCTGTTGACCCCATGCTTTGCCTCGTCATATGCATTCGCTACTTTCTGCTTTCCATATCCTACAGCTCTTTCAATAGTCTCCTGGGCATTACCAATCTTGTCTGAAGCCATGTTCTTTGCCTCGTTGTAACCGTCCTCTAGTTTGTCTTTTCCATACCCCATTGCATCTGTCATTCTATCTCTCGCATCCCTAGCCCCATCTGAAGCCACACCAGTGGCCATGTTCAGCTTCTCCTTAGCTTCACCATAAAGATCAGAAGCTCTCTCTCTGCCATACCCCATTTCTCCTCGCATTTCTTCTTTGAAATCATCGGCGCTATCTGAAACCATGTCAGTGGCCGTATTCAGTTTGTCTTTTGCTTGACCATAAAGATCAGATGCTCTATCTCTTCCATGGCCCACAGCTCCAGATGTATCGTTAGCTCTATCCGAGTCCATATCAGTAGCCATGTGCAGATAGTCTTTAGTTGCACCATAAGTACCAGCTGCTTTGTCTTTGCCATACTCCATTGCTTCCGCTATTGAATCTTTGGCATCACCAACACTATCAGATGCCATTCTTAGACCTTGGTCAGCTTTCTCGGAAGCAAAACTTCCTACGTCACGAGCTTTTCCGTAGGCCAAATTGGCAGCCTCACCGGCTTTGTCAGAAGCATATTTGGAGGCATCTGCATGAATAAAAGAGTGACCAAGGGATAATATACGAGACAGTTATGTCAATTAGGGCTTCGATGCATGAGCTATCTTATCCTGGTAATACATATATCTATATATGACTTGTGAGATATTAAAAGAAATCCACTCCAGTATCATTAGACTGATGACTACACAATGCCTTTGCATGAAACGAAGAGACAGTCCAATTTTGGTCATGTAGATCGGAGACAATTTCTTGCTTCACCAACCAATCACGGATTTATATATACTTACACACCCTTCTAAGTATTTTCTTAGACGATAACTTGCAGCAGTGTCGTCTTTCCTATGAAGTTGTATCAACCATATGAACACCAACAGAACTTAAAAGAACAAAATGTGCAAGAGAAACGAAAACAAAAACTACACAACCTGTAAAAGTGTAAGATCATGATGAATTACCAGATGCGGCAGATTTCATCGTGCTGATGGCCTTTGAAGCGGCATCCCCAGCCCTATCAATGATATTGTAAGCTACATCTTCTGCTTTGTCTTGCTTAGTTGTATGCCCTCCCCTATCACATAATTTCTCACGTCAGCAAGTGGTACATACTTCTATCAACAACAGCAAGTGATACATACTACTATCAACAACACAATTCAAGTTTCACGCTCAAACAAAATTAACATAAAAATTTGGACCGGAGGACAAAGCAGTAAGCTTCAAGCTTAGTGATCCCTAGAATCCATTCAAACCTGTTTGACAAATATTCGCAGATTAAGGACATAAACTACCATCCCAAACACAGAAATCATCAATAATAGTGCAGTGTTTACAAGCAATAAAGCATTACACAACTCCAATTTCCCCACTTTTTCTCAGCCTTTTCTTTTTGTGGTAACAATAGGGGCATAAAGCAAGAGAAATTAGAAATTAAAAATCTAGCAGAAAAGCTACGCACTTTACCGCCCATATTTGTCACAATCAAAGTTATTTTCAACTTTCAGCATCTTCGGGAAAAATTAAGCCTAATCTTCAACATCTATGTGGCTCTATGCTGTCTTTTACAATTTAAAACTTTTATCTGTCCACTTCCAGCAGAAAAATTAGTTTCCACAGACTAAAATTAAATCCCTAATGGTTTCTCTTGTTGACAAGCGACTTATCAAACAAGACCACAGACTCGACCTGGTCTTTGAATAGAATAATGCTTGCAAACTCTCCAGCAAAAGCAAGAAGTCTAAGACAATGTGTCTTAGTAGATTTGCCCTTGACTGTAGAATAGATTAACAAACATATTGATTCCCATAATAGATGTACTCTATTAGCCTAATAACTAAACTACCCAAAGATAATCAATACCGCAGCTGCACTGAGTTCTCTATATTGCAGGGAGGAAGGAATAGTGCAAAAACAGCGGTATCGTCTCCATTCAGATGGCAATTTATGGAAGTAGCGTCCATCTTGAACTATACTGAAGACACAAAATCTCATTTAATTGCACCTTTTCACATGAATGCCATTTCTTTGATTCATTACATTGAAATCTTAGATTACAATCAAATTATTAAAAATGACCAATAAAAAAATGGAACGAGGAGATGGTGTACTGGCAATGAAACAAATGATATCGATGAAAAAGGCCCCAAAAGTTAAGTCACCTTCCATCCAATTTACCCAGACATTTCAAGCAATATGTATCAAGAGACGCTAATGCAAAACCCCGGGCATTTCTTCATTTATATGCTGCTAATTAATGTAGCATCCCATGCCATCAACTAACTGAACTTGACCAGCAATTCTGGAGAATGATTATTTTTGAAATTATGGTACAGCTATCACGTCGTGTGATCGCATACTTGGGAAAGCTAAACTACTAGATTTTTACAAGGAACATCTCATATAGATAATAGCATAATAACATTATCGCCCACCTGAATTAACGTTCAGTTCAATTTGAGGTTGAAATTACATACCCATTATATCGATTATATCACTCGATCAAACACTAGATTGCGCTCGAATCCATACATTCGCCCCCGATCTATCTGTTTCATATGGAAACTATCAAATTTTGCTACCATATCTTACCCATCAAACAATGAATATCTATCATGTTCACGGCGTATAGTAACCTCTTAACAGTTTACGGAAACACGCGGTAACCTTTGCAATTTACAACACAATGAAAGGCGAAACGGTACAATGAAACATTTTGCCGTGCTTTTCGGGTCGATGAAGACAAACGTGGTTATTTCTTTTTTCTTTTTTTTTGGTAAGGTAACGTGGTTATTTCCTTTAAGTTTAGTAAAATCTTAAAACACGTGCTTAGATTGATTAACGTTTGACTAATGTGATTATCCGTTAATCTATCCCCCACGACGCAAACGGTCACGTCTCTCGAACGCGATCTCGCTCCACCGCATCGCACGCATCACCACGGCACGCCGCCCAAAAGCACGGAGAAGCCTACACGCGCGGGGCTCAGCAACAACAGCAATCTATAACATCCCAGGCGATCATCATCAAACGCGAACGCAGATTTCAAAACCGCGGACGATCGATCGATTCAATTGCAGAGAGAGAGAGAGAGAGAGAGAGAGAGAGAGAGAGAGAGAGAGAGAGAGAGAGAGAGAGAGAGAGAGAGAGAGAGAGAGAGAGTCAAATTACTCCCAATCGGGCCAGGAGTCGGTGCCGTCCTGCCAAGCGCCCCGCCCGGCGTCGTCGGCCCAGCACCAGCACGGCCCCGGCGCGACCGCCGCCAGCAGCAGCGCCGCGGCGGTCGAAATCAAGATCCTCTTCGCCATTTGCCTGTCGTCGGCGCCGAAGTTGCACTCCCCGCGGCAGCGGATTCGATCCCGAGGATGGATGACGGGTGAGTAAAGAAAGGATGAGGAAGCGCTCCGGTTCGAGCGTGCGCGAATGGCGAGTGCGCGTGTTTTTCTCTGCGCGTGAAATGAAGGAAGGAAGGAAGGAGGAAGAAGAAGAAGACAAAAAGGAGGAGGAGGAGAGGGAAACGCAGGGTGGGCGAAGAGAGCCGTTAAAAGCGAGGCTCTCGGAAACGTGGCGCGACGAGGGGCGACGTGGCGAGGGGGGGGGGGGGGGGCGGAGCTGCGCGTGCGGACGTGGCGACACGTGTCGAGCGGACCGTGCGGCGCGTCGGTCGCTTCGGGTTCGGGTCGTCGGTGGGGATTTCTCCCGCGCGCGAGCATCGGGCTTTGGAGCTGAGCGAGTGGTTTTTAAATGAAGGAGGAAATGGTCAAAAAAAAAAAAAGAGGGCAGATGATTTTTCTTGACCAAAAAAAAAAGGTCGATGATTTTCATCCTTGGAGAAATACGATTGGGAACTTAAGTTCCGGCTAAAATGATATTTTCGGATGATTATCAAACTAAGGGCCGTTTGTTTTCACCATCGATCGATAACAATTTATGTCAAAATATTTTGATAAATAATAAAAATATTTTTTATTCATTAAGTTTTGTAAGATATGCAAGCGACCATTTTAAAGAAAATAATTTTTCTCGAAAATAAACGCGCCCTAAAGTGAATACTATTATAATTCAATGACATTAATCGGACACTCTGAAAAGTTGCATGCACCTCATACCACAAAACTATATGTTAATTGTTACGCCCGTCGTTTATACTTTATAATTATACATGTATTCTTTCGACGAATTAAACAATTCATGGCCGTCTTATCCATCCCACATCGGAAGAACTTTTTCAGCCAACCCAAAGTACAATAGTTTTAATTCTATAGAAACTACGTCACAAAAGTTCCCTTTTATCTTGAAATTTCATAGCTGTACTTTCATTTTCGAACATGCATCATGCGTGCAGAAAAGTTATAACGCATGGAATTGCAAACAAATATAGTTATGCAAGAAAGATACATATAAATTATAAACTATAGTATACAAGAGGCTAATACATCTGTGCGCAAAATGATGATAAATGATCAATTACTCTCGAACTCTTAAGAGCGCAGGTCAATTTGGAGTATTGTGAAATTTCCAACTTACGAGCCAGAGCCGTTCTTTCGAATCTCACATATTGTTTGCAAAATTGCTCCGAGCATGGATCACCTACATAGATCAAAGGTCTGTACTTAACCGGTTTACGAGCTTACGGGATATCCACGGGCCTCCAAAAAGTTAAGTGCCTGTGCCCATGTAATAAATGAATAAAAAAATGAACTATTCTTGCAAAACGAGTGCTTTAACTCTTATGTTATAGCATAGGAGACTTTCTAATGGGATCAACCCCACCCTCCCCTTTTAACTCTAGCAAGAAAACGGCCATAATGATCAAACATAAACGAAGGGACAGTCTCCTATGTGCATGCGATAATTTTCCTCTCCATGCATTCATTACAGGAATAACTCTAATTATGAGTAGGAGGCTAGCAACGCACAGGTCAACAGCACCGAAATCATTATCACTAGTTCAATTGTATATAAGTCAAAAAGGATTTCAATAAGCGAATGAACAAAACCAACAAAGTGACAATGATGTCCGAAGACATTATCATCGATGTTCCTAATAACACTGATGCAAATGTCGAGCCGCGGCAAGGGCAACACCTTAACCAAAGATTGGCCATTGACACAAGATCTTATTCCGAAAACATGAAGATGTACACCACATAAATTCTTCCCATTATTCGGGATAAATCTACTAAAATGGATTTACTATCTTTTCCGACGGATAACTCGCCCATGAAAAGACGAAAAAGGCCCATCTCAATCAGGTGGAAGCAGCAGCTGCAACCGCCGCCGCCGTGTAAACCTCTCGAAGGCGGACCACTGCTTCCTTCTATCTAGTTCCCTGGATTTCAATCGTTTTGTACAGTATGAGCATTATCCCATCTACCAAAGAATCAGATAGAAACACGACTTTCCCATTTAAAGCCAAGAATTACAAATGAGACGATTTCACTGATCAAAATTTTGGGGGAAGCAGCCTCTGCATTAGAAAGAAAAGAAAAAATTTGCAAACTCGAATCTAGGCAGGCTGACCACCATCAGCTGCCAATTTTATCCGCTGTTGATGCTCTCCAACTTTGTATTCTACGATCTCCTTGAAAAGATCGGCATCTAAGATGCAGTCTGGCCTTCCATAGACAGCTGCTTGCACACTGGCCATTAGTTTCGCTATCTCACGGCCAGAGAACCCCTCCATCTTCCGAGCAGCTTCTCGAAGCACATCATCCGACATACCTTTTATGGTTATCTTTTGAGGCTGCTTCTTAAATAGAGAACCCCACTGAGATCTTTCATCCCCTTCACCGCAGAGGTACTTCCTCAAATAGAGTTTTAGCAGTCTAAATCGCTCCTCCTCCCCAGGAAGTGGGAACTCGATTACTTCATCAATGCGGTCAGTCACGGCTTTATCAAGATCCCCAGGCCGGTTTGTCGCTAGGACGAGAACGATGTCTCTGGATTGATCTCCAGTCCGGAAGAGCAAAGCATTCAGAGCACTACGCTGAGCCTCGCTCATATATCTACTGTTACGCCTGCATTGGAAGGAGGTATTATAACTTGTGATGGAAAATTATGCATAATCAAACAGAATCTGATCCTAACAATCGTATTCATGTTCCAATGGAGTAATGGTCTCATTTAAAAGCATCAATTTTACCAACCTCAAACTTCAACAGGTTAGCTACCAAACAATGAGGGGATTCCAACGAAATAACATTTTTACTGACCAACCAAAATTCTTACCAGCATATAAAACAATCACAAAGCTTTCTGCTACCTACTAGATATCGTGTACACCAAGAAATCAGTTCTCTACCGCCAAACAATTTCTCAGATCAATTTCCTCAAAAAAATCACATAAGTAAAAATTAGCAACATTCCATCAAGCTGCTTCATCACTAAGGCTTTGCTGATACAGTCATAAAGCAAAAGGCAGTTTCATTAAACACATCGAAATCAATATATGCAAGAAAAGAACTCACTCGCATAGAAAAGCATCTGCCTCATCTATGAAGAGAAGGAGACCCTTCTTTGACTTTTTAGCCCAGTCAAATATTTGATGGATTTTGGTGACAGCCTGCGAACCTAGTGGGGCAACATCCCCTCCAGTCATCATGGCATAATCTAAACCCTGGAAGAGGAAATAAAGAAAATTAATTAAATTTTGATATACCCATCTGAATGCACACAAGACATGGAAAGGACAGCTAGAAAAGCAAAATAAAAACATCACCAAAGAAGTATAAAAGCAACATAATCGAAGAGAACATTTATGTAGATTTTAATAAAGACGCGATGAAGTTTACAGCGCTCGTCAACAAGCCTTCAATGAGATTCAAGTTATTGCACATCATTTTCTGCTGTTCTTTGCTTAGTGTGGCAAGTTTGAACAAACTAACAGAGAAATGAAAGGAGCCACCAACTCGGGGGAAAGAACAATACTGAAATGAGCAAAAATTGCTACCATACCGATTTTCGAGCTATCTCCCTAGCAACCATAGTTTTTCCCGTGCCAGGAGGTCCATAAAACATCATATTGCGGAATGGAGCCTCGTGAGCCTTGGTGTTTGCCGTAGCCCTAGCAAGTTGTTCTATTCTTTTTTGCAACGAAGGGTGGAGAACAATATTTCCAAGGCTATTTTTATTCTCCGAAAGCACTGTGGAGCCAGCTGCAGCAGCAGTGCTATAATTCATAAGTTTGTTTCCTCCCCGAGAAATAAGGCCCGACCAAGGAAACTTAGAAATGGATGATTCCCAAATAAGTGAGGGCTGCCCAAGTATTCGGTTTATGTAACCCCATGTGACTCGAGCACCTTCCCTGAAAAACAAAATACCAGAAGCCTTTGAAGAGAAATAAAAAGATCTATCTATTTCGTAGTATGCGGACAAGAGACCCAAAAACAGCTAAACAGTGAAAAATTTCCACCTATGCTGAATGCCTTTGAGCAATGCCAAAGTTAAGCACTATTTTACTGAATCTTTTCAGTGTTCAAATCTGTCACCACAGCAAAATTTCATTGTTATGTTGGCAGTCACGTTAGCTGTTAACATCCACAACAACATATATGCTGTTTGTTATTCTATGCAAAGGAGTCCTGCCTAATTCACAAATCTATGGGAAGATACTAAATTTTAGTTTTGGAAAAATGTTTAAACTGATCGATCACAATTTCCAGCATGACTGCAGCATTTACATGGGATAACTACTGAGATTGGACAACAGGCATAGGTTTCATTCTGGATTAAAGCCATAGTCCCCCCATCTGCACACAGCAATCATCTGTTGGTGTTTATTAGGACACCAGAGAACACATGCTCTATGTTAGTTTAACTTGAACGTGAGTTTCAGGCAAACCTGGTGGTGTAAATTCCTGCAGCTAATGCAGTAGCTCCACCAACAGTCATGAGCAATGTGTTTCTATCATTCAGTAAGATCCTAAAACCACCTGCAGATTCCATCCACGGAAAAATGAGAATGAACATAATGGTAAAGCCAGAAGCAGAGAACAAACTCGAGCATATGTTGAATTGGTGTCATACCTTCAATATGACTAAATAATGTATTGATGGCAGCAAGCCACTTCTCTCTTTCACCGTTTATTCGTTCTACAAGCATTCTCCTATTATGGTCTTCTGTCAATTTCGCTTCATGTGCGCGGCCTTCGGCCTCAGCCATGGCCTTCACTCTTATGGTTTCTCGCTCTATTTCAGCTCTTTCTTTCTCAGTTTGGCGTTGTTGGGCTTGAATCTGTTCCTCGGTTGCCCGTTTTTGCTGCTCTTTTCTTACAGAGGATTCCTCTTGCATTTGAACCAATTCAATGTTATGGTGCCTCTGAGCTTCATGGTCTGTCTGAGAACATTGGAATATGATGTCATGAGCAGTTTGATAGTGATAATCTTTCCACGTGAATACAGTCTAATGTTTTAATGGGAACACCACGATATTTGTGGGAAAAAATCTCATCGTCATCTCAAACAT